CCAGCAGGGCTGAGGACATCAATTCTGCCTCCACTTCCCTAGCACCGTGCATGAGCAGATGTCAAGGTGGAGGGATTGTGGGAAATGTTTTCCTTGTTGTCTTATTTCCTTCATTATTCAGCATTTCTAGCCTCCCTTGCAGCTAGGGTGCAGGCACACAACCTAGACTCTGCCAAACAAATGCACCCATGTGAGACCTACAGGCAAAGAGAATATAATGCTTTTATCAATCTAAAAACTTCCTCAGGGATAAACGTGAAAGGAGGGAAATCTCAGGGTTTTAGAAAAACCTTATTGTGGGCATGATCATCCCTTAGAGGTCACTCTTACAAATAATTAAGTAGGCAACTGCCTAGGTGATGTGTTAAAAGCTTCCTCTTCTCAGGCTAAAAGGGGGTTCCTCCCTGGCTTATCTCTTTAATCTCTGTTAAATGCCAGGGGGAAGCTTATTCTACTTACATCTTTTTTTTGGAGACGGAGTCTCACTCTGTTGCCCAGGGTGGAGTCCAGTAGCATGATCTCGGCTTACTACAACCTCTGCCTTCCGGGTTCAAGCGATTCTCCTGCCTCAGCCTCCTGAGTAGCTGGGATTACAGGTGTCCACCACCACGCCTGGCTAATTTTTGTATTTTTAGTAGAGACAGGGTTTCTCCACGTTGGCCAGGCTGGTCTCGAACTCCTGACCTCAGGTGATCCGCCCACCTCAGCCTCCCAAAGTGCTAGGATTACAGGCAGGAGCCACCATGTCCTGTCATCTACTTACATCTTTACGTAAGTAATCCACATTTCCTTTTCCAAGTCAAAAACTCAGGCCGGGCGCGGTGGCTCAAGCCGTATCCAGCACTTTGGAGCCGAGACGGGCGGATCACGAGTCAGGAATCGACCATCCTGCTAACATGGTGAACCCTCTCTACTAAAATACAAAAATAGCCGGCGAGTGGGGCCTGTAGTCCAGCTACCGGAGCTGAGCAGGAGAATGCGTGACCTGGAGCGAGCTGCGTGACTGAGATTGCCATGCACTCTACCTGTGAAAAGCAAACTCCTTAAAAAAAAAAAAAAAACAAAGTCAAAAACTCACAACCTATCTAGAAATCTATGTAGAAGCCATTAAGGAAAATATTAACATATTTGGCTATCATTAAAGCTAATGTTTGACCAAAACCACCATAATTTTTTTTTTATTTTGAGACGGAGTCTCACTCTGTTGCCCAGGCTGGAGTGCAGTGGCATGATCTCGGCTGGATTCTCCTGCCTCAGCCTCCTGAGTAGCTGGGATTACAGGTGTCCACCACTATGCCCAGCTAATTATGGTATTTTTAGTAGAGACAGGGTTTCTCCATATTGGCCAGGCTGGTCTCGAACTCCCGACCTCAGGTGATCTGCCTATCTCGGCCTCCCAAAGTGCTGGGATTACAGGCATGAGCCACCATGCCCCGTCATCTACTTACATCTTTATGTAAGTAATCCACATTTCCTTTTCAAAATCAAAAACTCACATCCTATCTAGAAACGCACGTCAGAAGACATAAAGGAAAATATTAACGGATTTGGCTATCATTAAAGCTAATGTTTGACCAAAACCAACATAATTTTTTTTTTTTTTTGAGTTTTTGAGACAGAGTCTTGCTCTGTCACCCAGGCTGAAGTGCAATGGCATGATCTTGGCTCACTGCAACCTCTGCCTCCTGGGTTCACGTAATTTTCCTGCCTCAGTCTCCTGAGTAGCTGGAATTACAGGTGCCCGTCACCACAACCAGCTAATTTTTGCATTTTTAGTAGAGACGGGGTTTCACCAAGTTGGCCAGGCTGGTCTCAAACTCCTGACCTCGTGATCTGCCCACCTTGGCTTCCAAAAGTGCTGGGATTACAGGCATGAGCCACTGCTTCTGGCCAACTACCACAATTTAAAAAGACAAACTAAAATTGAGAAAATATTTGTAGTATTTTTCAAAAGAATAATAGCCCCTCACTTCTCTTGTGCTTTTTTCTTTGACCCACAATTACTTAGGAGTATGTGGCAGCCAGCCCCAAGGTAGCCCCAGTGATTCCACCTCCTGGAAGTCACACCCTTGTTCAATCCCCTCCACAGAGTACCAGGGTGGGTCGGTGTAACCAAGAAAATAAATGCGGTGGTATCTCATTTCTGAGAGTAGGTTTTTCTAAAAGACTCTAGGGCTTCTGTCTTGCTTACTTTCTCTCTCAAATCACTCATTCTAGGGGAAGCCAACTGCCATGTCAAGAGAAGTCTTATGGAGAGCTCCAAGGGGGAAGCAAATGAGGTCCCCAGTCAACAGCCAGAAGAAAACTGAGGCCTCCTGCTGACAGCCATGTGAGTGAGCTTGGAAGCAGAGGCTGAAGTCTCAACTGTAAACTGAGCAACTCTTAGTCAGGACTACTCTGCTATCTTGAATGTTTGACCCAGAGAAACAGTCATTGGTAGCTTAGTGACAGGGATATGTTCCGAGAAATGTGTTGTGAGACGATGTCATTATTGCATAAATATCATAGAGTAAGTGGCAAACCCAGATGGTATAGCCTACTACACACCTAGGCTATATGGCATAGCCAATAAGATCCTAGGGTACAAACCTGTTCAGCACGTGACTGTGTTGAATACTGTAGGCAACTGTAACAAGGTGGTATTTGTGTATCTAAGCATCTCTAAACATAGGTAAGGTACAGTAAAAATACAGTATTATAATCTTATTGGACCATTATCATATATGCAGTCTTTTGTTGACCAAAATGTCGTTACGTGGTGCATGACTGTAATTTAAAAATTCAAGGGCCAGGCTCAGTGGCTCATGCATGTAATCCCTGCATGGAGGCCAAGATGGGAGCATCACGTGAGCCTAGTAATTTGAGACCAGCCTGGGCAACATGGCAAGACCCCGACTCTTAAAAAAAAATCAGCTAGCTGTGGTGGCACACACCTATAGTCCCAGCTACTGGATAAGCTGAGGCAGGAGGATGGTTTGAGCCTGGGAGATGGAGGCTGCAGTGCACTGTGATCAGGCCACTGTACTCCAGCCTGGGCAAAAGAGCAAGATTCTGTCTCAAAAACGAAAACAAAAATCAGCTGGGCACAGTGGCTCATGTCTGTAATCTCAGCGCTTTGGGAGGCTGAGGCAGGCAGATCGCTCGAGGCCAGGAGCTTGAGACCAGCCTGGCCAAGATGGTGAAACCCCATCTCTACCAAAAATACAAAAATCAGCTGGGTGTGGTGGTGCCTGCCTGTAGTCCCAGATGCTTGGGAGGCTGAGGCAGGAGAATCGCTTGAACCCAGGAGGCAGAGGTTGCAGTGACTCAAGATTGTGCCACTGTACTCTAGTCTGGGTGACAGAGCCAGACTCTGTCTCAAAAACAAAAACAAAAAATTTGTTTAAGCCACTAAGCTTTGGGGTAAATTGTTATGCAGTAATAGATAATACCCATGTGCTGTTGATTTTCCAAACATTTAGGGGTTTCCTAGACACCTTACTGTTACGTTTATATTTTTCACCATATGTCTTCATTATTTATCCAATCATTTTTCCGCCCCATTTGCTCACATTGCTCTCCTTCTGCAACTCCTATTGGTATCTGTCAGACCTAATGTTGTCACATAGGTCTCGGAAGCTCTGTCCCTCTCTTCTGTCTTTTTTCTCCCTGCTCTGGGATCTCTAAGGGCAGTCCTTCTCTCACAAGCTGCAACTGTGACTCTTCCTCACATGGCCCCTGTCCTCGGCTTCACTTCTCGCCCCCTCCATCCCTTTGCCCTGGTGTCTTTCCTCCATGCTGCATTTCACACTTAGAATGTTACCTCCATTCTTTCTCTTCAGCCTACATGTTTTTTCCTCTTCTTTGCCTTGGATGGCAATCCCTTTCTTTCACTGAAATGACCATAATGCAGAATTTCAGCAAGTTTATTTCCCCCTGTTCTGTAGTGACATTTAAAAGCAGTAGGCAATTAAGGTCCATTGTTTAGTGTAATCACATAGAATGGTTCTTAAATTAAGTTTCGTCTCTGGTGTAACTCTTATTTTATTTATTTATTTATTTATTTTTGAGACGGGGTCTTGCTCTGTCCCCCAGGCTGGAGTGTAGTGGCCGGATCTCAGCTCACTGCAAGCTCCGCCTCCTGGGTTCACGCCATTCTCCTGCCTCAGCCTCCCGAGTAGCTAGGACTACAGGAGTCCGCCACCTCGCCCGGCTAGTTTTTTGCATTTTTTAGTAGAGGCGGGGTTTCACCGTGTTAGCCAGGATGGTCTCGATCTCCTGACCTCGTGATTCGCCCGTCTCGGCCTCCCAAAGTGCTGGGATTACAGGCTTGAGCCACCGCACCCCGCCTTCTGGTGTAACTCTTGATGTAATTTTAAATGATCAACGAGAAGATTTAGCAATTCCTCTAAGTAAGCAAAAACAATTAGAAGAATGTTTTATTGGTCCCAATGAGAATTTTGCCTGTGTTTTGAGGGTGGAAATATATTTCCTTTCGTCACAGCATTTAATTCACTGTTAACCTGATTTCACATGGTGGAAAGAAAAAGGACAAAACTCTAGCTGTTTTGCTGATTAGATCTAGCAACATTTGTCCTTTCAAAATAAGATACTAATCACCTGAGGTTTGTTTTTTACTTCACATACAAGTGTTAACATACACATTAAATACTGAGTTTATTATTTACCAACCAAACCAAGTCCTAGACAGTTTTAGAATCTTTTCCATTTGGTTGCCATCAGAGTGTCTGTAACTTTGCAAAAGTCAGCCTGCTGGGAACTTTTTAACACTTTAATTTTTAACCATTTAGGAGTTAGGGATCCCCTTGAGGATCTGATAAAAGCTACAGACTCTCTCCCCGGGAAATGGCAAATATACATTTCGCCTACAATTTCAAGGAGTTTGTAAAGGATCTGAGCCCTTCTATGGAGCCCAATCGAGGAAGTCTTGCTCTAAAAGCTCTGAACTGTAACTGTGGCACTGAAGGAAGCTCATATGTTTCTCAGGCACGCTTTCTTACCATTGCTCTTGCTTCCTCACGGATGGATGGAACAGAAAGGATGCTGTACAAAGCTCCATTCACATATGGCTGTATCTTTAAGGGAAGGAAAAAAACCAGTTATTTGCAAGTTTTCAAATACTGCACAACTCTATATCAAACACCACACCTCAGAACAATCTGGCAAATGGGGAGAGTGGGTGTTCCCGTCCTCGCAGCTCTCCTGTGCTTCAGGATGTATGTTCCCAAGTGACAGACATCTCCATCTGCATGTCCAAGTGACAGCTACCACTGAGTCTAAAACCAAATTCGTCACTCCCTTCCAAAGCTTACTCCTGCTGCATTTCATTGCTTAATTAAAGTTACCTTTAACCTCCTGATCACTCAGGCTAGAAACTCTGGAGTCATCGTTGATTTTTTGTGGTTGTTGTCCAGTCTCCAATGCTCAGTCTTCAAGCCTCTTTGATAGGAATCCCTTTTTTCCATATCCACTGCTACTGTCCTTGCTCAGACATCATCGCCCATGACCTAGGCTACATCAGATCTCCAAACCAGTCTCTCTACCCTCAATATTCACCCTTTAATGTAACCATCAGATCACTGCCAACATTCTACAGTATGGGCCAAATCATCCCTCTCTCCGTCTCAGAAATCCTCCATAAAGCCCAGTAGGAAAGGCGGAACTCCTTGGTGTGGCACACAGGATCTTCAAGGCGTGGCCTTTATCTCATCCCCTCTGCTTCTCCCTCCCTGCCACCACAAAGTGTCCATACTACCTAAGGGATGGCCCCCACCAGGCTGTTCCATGTCTCAGCCAGGTTCTGGCAGTTCACCTTGCCAGGAATGATCTTCACACATACAATGAACCTTGAAAACTCAGCCCAGACACGTCTCCTGGGAAGGCTCTCCTGAATCCATTCCTGCCTCCCTGCCCCTAGACAGGGTGCTCACTTCCACTTCTTGTACATCCCTCCACTACAGCACTGGAGGCAGTATCCTTTGAAATTCATACTATGTCCCCTCTATTCTGAGCTTTTTGAGGACAGGACCCACGTTTTACTTGCACACACTGGGCGTAGAGCATGGCAGGTGCTGATAAGCAAGTTCTCTTTCCAGCAGGCTGTACGCTTTGCCCGCCACAGCAATGGAGGAGGGCTCGTTTCCCACTGCCCTCCCTCAGCACTGGACTTGATTAGCACTTTCAACGCTTGCCAAGCTGATGGGTAAAAAAAGGCATCCTACAGTTTTTATTTTCAGTTCCCGATTGAACTAGCATGATTGAACATCTTTTCACATTTCTGGGGCAGCACGATTCTGTGAACTGTCTAGTCATATCCTTTATCCTTTTTTTCGACTGGATTGCTTGACTTTTACTTACCAATTTATACCAGCTCTTCATCTATTAGGAACATTAAACTTTCGTCACATGTGATACAACTTTTCCTCGGGGTTTCATTCATCTTTTGACTTTGATTATGGCATCTTTTTCCAATCAAAAAATGTAATGTTCATATAGTCAATTATGTGCATCTTTTTTTTTATTTCGGTTTTGTCTTTCAAGATCATGACTACTACAGTGTAGTAAACACATTTCTTGGCTCTAAAATATATATATACACACACATATACATACACACAGATATACATATGTCGTTTTTCAAGCTCATTTTCTTTTTCTTACTTTTTTTTTTTTTTTTGAGACAGAGTCTCACTCTATCATCCATGCTGGAGTGCAATGGCACAATCTCAGCTCACTACAACCTTCATCCCCCAGGTTCAAGTGATTCTCATGCCTCAGCCTCCTGAGTAGCTGGGATTACAGGCACATGCCACCATGCCTGGCAAATTTTTGTATTTTCAGTAAAGATGGGGTTTCACCATGTTGGTCAGGCTGGTCTTGAACTCCTGACTTCAAGTGATCCTCCCGCCTCGGTCTCCCAAAATTGCTGGGATTACAGGCGTAAGCCACCACGCCCGGCCTATCCAGCTCATTTTCAAAGCCAATGCATTCGTAACAGGTAATGATATGATTAGAATCCTTTGGTTTATTAAGTTTTCAGAGCAGACATATTGGTTCCAGTACTTGAAAACCAACCTTTATTATGAGATGGAAGAATATGTTTCCCACTGGTTTCACCTGCCTGAGTTGAATAAAGTGAGGAACAGAGTTCATTCAGGCCTAGAAGTAGTTAAGAGCTCACTAGTTTTAAAATATAAAGTGAATGTCACAAAGCCACCAAGCATCCACTAGCTAAAGAAGTCACCCCAATCAGTGAATAGGGCTATTGTAAAATGTGAATGGAATGACCAGAGTGGGAGCTGTCTGCTTGAATTGGGAACAGACGGGCCGGGCGTGGTGGCTCACGCTTTAATCCCAGTACTTTGGGAGGCCGAGGTGGGTGAATCACCAGGTCAGGAGTTCAAGACCAGCCTGGCCAACATGGTGAAACTCTATCTCTACTAAAAATACAAAAAATTAGCCAGGCGTGGTGGTGGGCACCTGTAATCCCAGCTACTTGGGAGGCTGAGGCAGGAGAATCGCTTGAATCTGGGAAGCGGAGGTTGCAGTGAGCCAAGATCACACCACTGCACTCCAGCCTGGATGATAGAGTGAGACTCTGTCTCAAAAAAAAAAAAAAAAAAAAAAGAAAGAAAGAAATAATTGGGAACAGACGTGTGGAAACCAAGTGGCACTCAATCGTATCCTGCTCAGATATACCCCTGGGTCTCATCTGTCTAAAGTGGTCAGATTTTTGTTGAAGCTTGGCCATGGTTTCTGCAATGGCATTTGTAGAAGGCAAGTGAGAGAACAATCATATTTGATTATTTGTTTTTGTTAATTTGTTTACCCACACCTCTACTTTATTTAAAAAGAGCTTGAGGCCCATAGGTTGAAAACTTAGAAAAGAACACTAGGTGTTGGGGGGACGCTGGTGAGAGCAAACGCTATATATAGCGTTTATATACTAAACGCTATATATACTAAACGCTATATATACTAAAAAGTATAGCCATTCTTTTTTTTTTTGTTTTTTTTTTTTTGAGGCGGAGTCTCGCTCTGTCCCCCAGGCTGGAGTGCAGTGGCCAGATTTCAGCTCACTGCAAGCTCCGCCTCCCGGGTTTATGCCATTCTCCTGCCTCAGCCTCCCAAGTAGCTGGGACTACAGGTGCCCGCCACCTCGCCCGGCTAGTTTTTTGTATTTTTTAGTAGAGACGGGGTTTCACTATGTTAGCCAGGATGGTCTCGATCTCCTGACCTCGTGATCTGCCCGTCTCGGCCTCCCAAAGTGCTGGGATTACAGGCTTGAGCCACCGCGCCCGGCCGTATAGCCATTCTGGAGGACGATTTGGCAGGACTCAGTGACCTGAAACTGACGTATGCTGGCAGCCAGCCGTGATGAGTGTCTACGCATCCCTGGAAGCTCTGGCACAGGCTCCCGAGGGGCAGGTGCGGCCATGTCCACTGAGGACTGCTGTGGCAACAGAGAGTGGGAGGCACCCAAAGTGTACAGGCTGGATAAGTAGAATGGCAGGGGTGCAAACAAGGGGCTATTTTGCAGTAGTGACACTTAATGAACTAGACATATGTAAAGCCACATAGAAAGGTCCTAAAAACACAGGGGAAAAGCCATCAACAGAATGAGACCTAGAGGGTAATCTATTTCTGTAAATTCAATACACATGTACACAGTATCATATGTCTTTTAAGGCTCCATCCACATCCACAGAGATACATTAAACATACCAAGGGAGTGGCATGTGAGGGAGGAATGTTGGGGGCTAGATGATGAGAAAAAGCAATGCCAGAGGGGCCGGGCACAGGCCAGTGGGCCAAGCAGACGGGGACAGAAAGAACAACATCCTGCTTCTGACTTCCAAAATTCTAAAAATTATAAAAGATTTCCAGCTGCTTATGAAAATCCCCGGAGGAGGGAGAACATGTACAGTTTTCAAATACAGCAACCATCCTGGGCCAGCTGTGGGCCTGTGGGGTCACAGGCATTGGGTCCCCAGTGCAGCCTCCCCTAAACCCAGGGCCAGTAGTGCTGAATGAGTACCTCATGGTTTTCATGGCCAAGAAGATCCGAAAGGACTTTGAGCACGAGGCCTGCCACCTTGGCACACATGTTCTTCCCTATGGGAAACAAACCAAAGCTAAACATGACATGTCTAAACCCAGAAGCACAATTTTGGGTCATGTGGACTTGGGGACAAATCTTGGCTCCTCTGCTCATGAGCTGTATGACCTCGGGTGAGTCACATAACCAGTCTGGGCCTCAGTTTCCTCCTCTTTACAACAGAGATTACTATTCATACCTACCTCAAAGAGTGATGCAAAATTAAATAAACTAATGTATGTAAAGGACTCAGTGTAGCATACAACCTCAGTGCTCAGTAAACCACCCCAAGTGGTGGCTATTACTCTGGTCAGAGCACAGAGCGAGTCATTACAGTGAAAGCACAAAACATTATAGAGCAATGTTCTCCCTCCCACGCACGGATACCAGCATCACGAAGACCATACAGGCATTTTAGTAGCTATAAACGTCATCATAAAAATCACCGCAAATAAGGTGGTGATGATGAAGAAAAGCTAATTCTAATCTGATCAACGTATTAGAAGTTAGGACTTCTGGCTGGGTGTGGTGGTTCATGCCTGTAATCCCAGCACTTTGGGAGGGCGAGGCGGGTGGATCACTTGAAGTCAGGAGTTCAAGATCAGCCTGGCCAACATGGTGAAACCCCCTCTCTACTAAAAATACAAAAATTAGCCGGGCGTGGTAGTGGGCACCTGTAATCCCAGCTACTCAGGAGGCTGAGGCAGGAGAATCGCTTGAACCTGGGAGGCAGAGGTTGCAGTGAGCCAAGATCACACCACTGCCTCTAGCCTAGGCGACGGAGCATGTCTTCATCTCAAAAAAAGAAAAAGAAAAAAAGCTAGGACTTTTTGCACATGCTATTCTTTAAAATGACTGAAATAATAGTCATTTACTCAGTCAACAACACACAGTTACGTGGTTCAGTCTACAAAGTATACGGAGGTGAAGATGCTTCCAACAAGTACTCCTGAGTCAGCTATTTATCCAGGGGGCCTTTCTCTCCAAACACTGGATGCTCAGGCTGAGGAAAGCCAAAGCCTAGACTTGGCATCTCTTCTAAAGAAGCTTCTTTCATCCCAGGTAACAACTGAAAAGAGATAGTACCTGTACCTGGAAAAGCTAAAATCACTGCCTTCAGTGATCAAGTATATAAATGACTGATCAAGTATATAAATGACTTATGCCCACAGGAGAACCTCCACCTCCAGGGCTGGGGCAGGGAAAAGCACGTGATTCACAGCAGGAAGTGTGGTTTAGTGTCACTGCTACTGCGGCCAGCTTAATCCTATAGGATCTTGGGAACACACTTCTTTGTCTTCAGAAAAGCGGATCATATTCTTAATTGCCTACCTTTGAACAATGCAATAAAGAAAAATGTAAATGAGCTTAGTCTCCTCTTAATGTGGGCACTACATAGATACAAGACATTTTTTCCAGGGTGAGAAGGGATTTTGTCTTCAGGGATTCAACAGCTTGATACCTAGTTGGAAATGCTTTCCACTCTCTTTTCTGTTTTTAGTTTTCTACGAGACTAAAAGCAAACCACATCATGCTCACTAGAAACCCAGCTTCAAAGGTCAAGATCTCTTCCCCTTCTTGCAATAGAATGAGGGTTGGGGGGCTGAGACCTGCGCTGCGGAGACAGAGGTTCATAAGCAAAGCCACCGAGTACTCCAGCGTGTAGTCAGACAGGCAGTCGGGGTCCTTTAGAGCATCAACCAGCCAGAAGATGAGGCCGTCTTGAATCATCGCTGTCTGCAGGGGGCGCCTGGGAAGGAACAGCCTACTGTAAATAAAAACTGCCAAGAAACGTTTCATATAAGAGGAAACAGTAGGCTGGGTGCAGTGGCTCATGCCTGTGATCCCAGCACTTTGGGAGGCCAAGGCGGACGGATCACCTGAGGTCAGGAGTTGGAGACAAGCCTGGCTAACATGGTGAAACCCCGTCTCTACTAAAAATGTAAAAATTAGCCAGGCATGGTGGCGGCACCTGTAATCCCAGCTACTTGGGAGGCATGAGAATTGCTTGAACCCAGGAGGCAGAGGTTGTAGTGATCTGAGATCGCACCACTGCACTCCAGCTTGGGCAATGGAGCAAGACTCTGTCTCAAAAAAAAAAAAAAGAGGAAACAGTAATGTGAATGTATATCAGAAAAGACAAACTTACTGAAGACACAGACTCTGAGGAATATTTTTGTTAAACTCATACAATTGAAATAACAGAAGTTCTTTACATTTCAGGGATATTTATTAACGGTTTAAATAAAGATAAGGCGGTAAGGAGGTCTCCTACTTTGAAAATCTCCTTTTCAATATTTAAAATTAGCATAGCATTACTTCAAATATCTAATAAATATTCATTAGTAGCTTTTGGTTTACTTAACTCAGGAAACAGGACCATAGACATACTTCTTTGACAAACAGGTTTTTTCTTTTTTTTGTGATGGAGTTTTGCTCTTGTTGCCCAGGCTGGAGTGCAATGGCACAATCTAGGCTCACTGCAACCTCCGGCTCCTGGGTTCAAGCGATTCTCCTGCGTCAGCCTGCCAAGTAGCTGGGATTATAGGCATGCACCACCACACCTGGCTAATTTTGTATTTTTAGTAGAGATGGGGTTTCTCCATGTTGGCCAGGTTGGTCTCGAACTCCCGAGCTCAGCTGATCCACCCGCCTCAACCTCCCAAAGTGCTGGGATTACAGGCATAAGCCACTGCACCAGCTGACGAATAGATTTTCACCTAAACTCTCTGTAATCCAGGTCTAGGCACTCTGGGCTGCATGAAAATAAAGAAAAAAAGGAGGAGCAAAAGCCTAGCTTAGCATCATTTTGATTCACATTTCTATAGAGTAAGTGTAGTTTAATGACCTGGTAAATGCAAATTATAAGGAATGATTTTCCACCCAAAGTCCAGGTGTAGAATCCTACAAAATTCAATACCCCATCAAAATGTGTGATGGTGAATATCATCAGGTTAGCCTTAAGAATTGCTGAGACTAAGTGTGGTATCATTATGAGATGCCATCTGGATTAGTAGAAAACTGACATGCCACAGAGAAGCCAGATCTGCACATCTCCTGATGAGCAGATTTTGGCAAAACCACTGCTCAGGACAGAACAGCGGAGCCAGTTTATTTGTTCATCCTGTTCTTAAACACTACACTGACCCAATCAGGGTGGCTTATTAGAATACGGTGAAGACTGCACTCTCTTGGTAACTAGCTATCTTCTCCATTTATTGCAGAGACTCGGGAAAACTGCAAAAAGGTTAAGCACATTTACAGAACAAAAAAGCTTAAATTATCATTTGGAGGAAAAGATAAACAGGCAGTAAGTATTTGCATTACCAGAAGGAAGTATTTTTTTTACCATATCTTATATCTGTTACTTAACTATAGTTATTGAATTTCTAAAAACTTCCCCAAAATGGTCGACACTGAGCAAAGTTCTCTCTATAAACAAACAGAAATGAAGTGTTTGTATGCTCTGAGGAAGTAATGACACTGCAGATCACTTACAGTTCTTTTCAATTCATATAGTTAGAACAAAGAATTTTCATTAGCAGGGAGTTGGCAAATAGTAGATACAAATACCTATTCCTTCCTCCACTAAACACACACATGCTTAGACCATTTCACTTTGCAGGCTTCTGGTTACTTGTGAGTCAGTCGAATGTTAACCACATTTGATGGGAAGAAAGTGTGTTCAGAAGAGGTCCGACAGAAAAAAGTTGAAGACTCCAGGGACTAGAGTTCTCAAGAAAGTCAAAGAGAACTTCAGGTGATCATGAGAGAATAAAAACTCTGAAAAAATTACCATATGTCCCAGCAATTACTCTCCCAGATGCCAATCCATGAGAAAAGGAAACATATGTCCACATGAAGACTTGTGCTGAAACGTTCACAGCAGCATTATGCATATTGGCCAAAAATGCAAACAACCCAAATGCCGATCAACTGAAGGACAAACAAACTGGTGTGGGCCGGGCACAGAGGCTCACGCCTGTAATCCCAGCACTTTGGGAGGCCGAGGAGGGTGGATCAGGAGGTTAGGAGTTCGAGACCAGGCTGACCAACTTGGTGAAACCCCATCTCTACTAAAAATACAAAAATTAGCCAGGTGTGGTGGTGCGCGCCTGTAATCCCAGCTACCCAGGAGGCTGAGGCAGGAGAATTGCTTGAACTCAGGAGGTGGAGGTTGCACTGAGCCGAGATTGCGCCACTGCACTCCAGTCTGGGCGACAGAGTGAGACTCTGTCTCCAAAACAAACAAACAAACAATGTGGTATAGCCATAATGGAGTATCATATTCAGCCACAAAAGGAATGAGGCCCTGACATATGCTGCTACATAGATGAACCTTGCAAACGCGATGCTAAGAGAAGCCAGTCACAAAAGAGCACACACTACATGAGATCCATTTATATCAAACGTCCAGTACAAGTCAATTGACAGAAAGCAGATTCGTGGCTACCAGGGCCTGCGGGTAGGAATGAGGAGTGACTATAAATGGGTATGAGGTTTCTTCTTGTGGTGATGGAAATGTCCTAAACCTGGATTGTGGTGATGACTGCACCACTCTGTAAATACACTAAAAATCCTTCAATTGTATGTTTAATATGGGGAAATATTATGGTGTGTAAACACATCTCAACAAAGCCGTTAACTGACGACTATGGGGCCAGGTGCGGTGACTCACGCCTGCTAATTCTAGCACTTTGGGAGGCTGAGGTGGGTGGATCACCTGAGGTCAGGAGTTCAAGACCAGATTGGCCAACATGATGAAACCCCATCTTGGCCGGGCGCGGTGGCTCAAGCCTGTAATCCCAGCACTTTGGGAGGCCGAGACGGGTGGATCACGAGGTCAGGAGATCGAGACCATCCTGGTTAACACGGTGAAACCCCGTCTCTACTAAAAAATACAAAAAACTAGCCGGGCGAGGTGGCGGACGCCTGCAGTCCCAGCTACTTGGGAGGCTGAGGCAGGAGAATGGCGTGAACCCGGGAGGCAGAGCTTGCAGTGAGCTGAGATCTGGCCACTGCACTCCAGCCTGGGTGACAGAGCGAGACTCCGTCTCAAAAAAAAAAAAAAAAAACCCATCTGTACCAAAAATATAGAAATTAGCCCAGCCCCATCAGCTCCAAGTCATGACAGTCTAGGCTGAGCCCATGGGGTGGGCTGCTGGGATCATGGACAAGGTCAGGAGGCCCTAACCCTGACTTCCACAGGACTGCCTCTGACACTCTGCTGGGATGTGCATTCATGTGTGCGGCTCCCATAGGGGACTGGAAGTAACTTGAGGGCTGAGGCTCTATCAGGTCTGATACATGTATCTGTCTCTAAGCCCTGCACATGCCCCGAGACACAATCCTGCATGGCTGGCACTTGATAATGTCTATTAGGAAAATCCAATGGTGCTTTGAAAATGTCTTCCTCCATCTCCAGCAGCCTCAAGCAGGATAGTTTAGAGGATTAGAGATAAGCTTTCTAGTTCTGTCTTAGAGAGTCATCCAACCTCTCCAAAGTGTAGTGGAAAAATACCATTTACCTCCTGGGTTGCCATGGGAATTTTAACTCAATCTGATCTCACAGGAGATGCCGTGACCTACTGCACAATCATTACCTGAGGCTGAACTTCTGCAGGGCCCCAAGAACATTCTCCCTGGTGATGATGTCCTTGTCCTCCTCCTTCAGTCTTCCCTCCAGCATCCGCAGCACCTTTGTGTTCTGGGCAAGGTAGAGGCGACCTGATGATACACCAGAGAGCAAACAGGTGAAAGACAGAAATAATTTATCTGGTATGCTACAAAACCACTTTCCATGAAAACTTACTTTGCATATAACACAGTAGAGTTTGGGTAATTTTATGTTCTAAAAAACTTACTGGGCAGGGTGCAGTGGCTCACGCCTATAATCCCAGCAGTTTGGGAGGCTGAGGCAGGCAGATCACCTGAGGAGATCGAGACCAGCCTGGCCAATGTGGTGAAACCCCGTCTCTACTAAAAATACAAAAATTAGCTGGGCATGGTGGCAGGTGCCTGTAAACCCAGCTACTCGGGAGGCTGAAGCAGGAGAATTGCTTGACCCTGGGAGGCAGGTTGCAGTGAGCCAAGATTGCACTACTGCACTCCAGCCTGAATGACAGAGCGAGCGAGATTCCATCTCAAAACAAACAAACAAATAAACAAACAAAAACGTACTGGTTGTGCAAGGTGGCTATGCCTGTAATCCTAGCACTTTTGGAGGCTGAGGCAGGTGGATTGTCTGAGCCGAGGCATTGGAGACCAGCCTGGACAACAGGGCATAACCTCGTCTCCACAGAAACTAAGGAAAATTAGCCAGGTATGATGATGCACACCTGTTGACCCCGCTAACTGGGGGGCTGAGGCGGGAGGAACATTGCTTGAGCCCGGGCAGTTGAGGCTACAGTGAGCTGAGATCATGCCACTGTACTCCAGCCTGGGTGACAGAGTGAGACTCTGTCTCAAAACAAAAACAAAAACAAAAACAAAAAAAAACACAAAACCCCCACAAAATTTATTAAAAGATATTTCTTCCAAAAGTTGGTTTTATTCAATGAAATATCTGATGACTAGAAAAACCACTCTTCTTGAGAGCTAAACATAATTCATTGCTGTGTTCTTGTGGGGAGCACTGTCCTTTTTTTCCATGAAATCCTGAACCCAACAGTCAGATCTACAAGGAGAAAAGAGGGGTAGATGTGTGTGTTATGAGCCCTTAAGTCTTCACAACAGAGGCAGCCAAGGAATGCTTCCGTCCACACTCTCTGTACAAGGCCTGGAGAAGAAGCAAGACGCCATACCTGGGACCCTGTAATAAGCCCAGAACGGTCACTAGCCTGCTATGGACTTCTGAATTGATATGGAAGATGTTAATTTCAGACATAAGTTTCAACAGTATTATCATATGAATGGTCCTCAGTAACATATCCTGGCGTATCATAAATGTCTGCCAAAAGGATGGAAGAATGAACGAACAAATGAACAAAGTTTTGGAGTATCATATATTCATAATTTGAAAACTCCCTTTATTCACATTATAAAGAGCTCAAATAAATAAGAACTTATGGAAGATAATGGCACTTTGCAAAATCATTTTAAATTCAGTTATGGGGGCATGTTATTTTCAGAGTTTTCAAATCCTTTGATTTAAGGGGTCATAGTCTTCCGAAGGAAATGGTGCAGTGTTTATTGGCGTCTGCTTTGTTTCACTAAGCTTATTTTGCCGTAATTGTTTCACGTATTTTGCCTTAAGTAGGAAATTATAGAAAATGCATTCATTACCTGTGATATACTTGAAGGCAATATAAAATGTTGCTATGTTACAAAACCAGAAAGCTTTATAAAATAAAACCGGGAGGTTTACAAAATAAACCCCAAAACTGTCTAAATGTGCTCTGACATAAATGAAAGCAATATGACAACAATTTTCACAAAAGACCTTAGATAAATTAAACAGTAACAAACTGAGGAAGCGTCATGTCCAAGAAACCTGGGAGGAACGCTCATTTTCAAAGGAAAAAGCACACCAGTGTGACCAAGCTCTTCTCTTTGAAGCAAAGCTGATGTCTCACCTTCTGCCAGTGACGCAAAAGCATTGATGAGCCTGGCCATGTACTGCCGCACCACGTCACTCTTGGAGTGCAGCAACTGAAGCACACTCCTCTGGGGGAAAAAGTCAAGAGGAAAAACAACAAGGTTAAGAAAAGGGAGAGATAAACATATGTCTCCTCTTTGGGTCTGGTAGTTCTCTTCCTCTGCCTGAACTTATTAGAGGTGAAATAAACAGACTAAAGCCAAACATTTCATCTGGAAGCCTTGATTTCCAGCTGAAATTTGATGAGACTTGGCAAAAATAAGTTAAGTCAGATTTCCAAATTAAATTAATTAATTATACAAAGCCCTCAGAACAGTGACTGGCGCAAAGGAAGCAGTCCTGTTTGCTGTTACCGTTGCTGCTGTTTTCCAGGTTAGAATGGCAGATCCAAGACACATGCCTAATTTGGCTCCCTCTAAACCACAGTAAAATTACAATAAATGGACCGTTAAAAAAGATAATTGCCAAGGACAGAGAGAACAGCACGAGAAACAATAACGCCACAATTCTGGAAGTGGGAATGCAGCATGGCAAGAGGCTTAGCAGGCCCAAGAAGGTCAAATCTCAAGGCAGCAACGGGCACTGTGGAATTACCGTTTCCATTACTCACTCCTCAAAGGCCTTAAGAGCTGAAGAAAAATAAATGGAATGGAATGAATGGAAGTTGTTTAAGCAGCAGCTGGATCCCACTCATGTGAGTCCTGCGCATCTCTCAGCACAGGGCAGGGGAGAGGGTGTTCCCCTGTGAGGGTGACATAAAGGGTCTGTGGATGGGGGACACCAGGCAGAGGAGAGCAAGGGTTGCAGGGGTTCTAGAACAAAATGGAGAGGGGGGTTAGTGTCTAAATGCAGAATGAATGTGGAACAGAGGGCCACCCCAAAACTTGGCTCCCAGGACCCTGGCAACCAGACCCTTTCCCTCTAGGCCCAAGATTAGAAGACTATTCTCACGGTGAAGTGACCAGCCCAAGGAGGAAGAACTAGAGACCATGAAATCAGAGGTTCCCAGCAAACGGCCCACCCAGATCCCCCTGGATGGAGCTATCCATCGACAGGCCCCACCATCACACTCAATGGCTCTGTAGTCCCCTTCACTCCAAATCTCTCATTAGGAGATCATCAAGGACCACCAGACATCTGAGAAAAGTTTCTACTAGGAGGCCAAAACAAATGGGGCGGGGGCGGGCTTGGAGTAAATGAGACTGTGCAGGGAGAAGAAAACTAAAAATTAAATAAAAATTCATCACTAATATCCTCAAAGATATAAGAAACTGTATTATATCCATGAAACAAGAGAAAGCTATCAAAAAGGAAATAAAAGTTTCAACAGAAGGGTCAGAAAATAAAGATGAAGAAATCCAGGGAGGCTGGGCAGGGTGGCTCACGCCTATAATCCCAGCACTTTGGGAGGCCAAGGTGGGCAGATCACTCGAGGTCAGGAGTTTGAGACCAGCCTGGCCAACATGGTGAAACCCCATCTCTACAAAAATACAAAAATTAGCCAGGCGTGGTGCCGCACACCTGTAATCCCAGCTACTCGGGAGGCTGAGGCAGGAGGATTGCTTGAACCCAGGAGGCACAGGTTGCAGTGAGCTGAGATTGTGCCAGGGCAGCAGAGTGAGATAGTCTCAAAAAAAAAAAAAAAAAAAAAAAAGAAATCTCCCAAAGAATGGAACAAAAAGTAGAAAATATGAGCGAAACTATAAGAAAAATAGAAAACCAGTTCAGGAGGTTCAACATTCAGAGAGAGAACACAGAAAACAGAAGGAAGAAATCCTCAACAAAATAACTCAAGAAAAAGTTCCCAAAATGAAAGCTGTCAGATTGAAAGGGTCCACAAAGTGCTCAAAACAATGGATTAAAATATACCTCATGAAGGATGTCAATGGGAAACTGGGAAGATTCAATATGCTTCTCGAGAGAGAAACAGGTCACATATGAAAGATAAAGAATTGGAATAGCTTTGGATTTCTGTTTTAAATTTTTTGAGTCAAGGTCTCACTTTGTTGCCCAGGATGGAGTGCAGTGGCGTGATCACAGCTCAGAGCCCCAACCTCTTGGGCTCAAGCAATCCTCCCACCTCAGCCCTCTGAGTTAGCTGGGACTACAGGCGCATGCCAACGTGTCTGGTTAATTTAATTTTTTTTTTTTTTTTCTCAGCTGCTCACAAATTCCTGGGCTCAAGCGATCCTCCTGCCTTGGCCTCCCAAAGTGCTAGAATTATAGGCATGAGCCACCATACCCAGCTGGCTTTGGATTTCTGAACAGCAAAACTGGAACCTAAAAGACAATGGAGTAATGTCTTCAAAATTCTGAACGAAAATTATTTACAATCTAGGATTCTATACAAAGAATGAAGACATTTCTTGACCATATATGATTTCAAAATATATACTTCCTGTGCACATTTTCTCTAGATGCGATTAACTAAAGGATGTGTTCCACCAACCGAGAGAACAAGTCAAGAAATAAGATAATATCAGACACTGGAAACAGAGATCCAATTCAGGAAAGAGGTGAAAGGAATCAACACACGTTTGGTGAAGAGACTCCTGGACAGCAGCTATGCACCAGAATGTTTTCCAGACTAAACTCAGCTGATTCAAGAGGGTGACATATCCAAGGCTGTCATCCCCAAGATGCCTGTTACCATTACACCAATTTAGGTCGAATTTTTGTTGAAGTATAGCATCTACACAGGACACTGCACAGATCACAAGTACAGCCTGATGAGTGTTCACAAAGTGAACATGTGGCTAACTAGTAAACAGATCAAGAAACAGAACATGACCATCATCCCAAAAGCCCTTCCAGAACCCCATCCCAAACCAAGGGTGACCTCTCTCCTGGCTTCTAACATCATAGATTCATGTTGCTTGGCTTTAAATTTTTTGATAAATGAAACCATATATTATATATTCTCTTATGTTTGACTTTTTCATTCAACAATATGTTTGAGATATTCACCCAGGGTCTCTGCTGTATTCCTTCTCATTGCTCGAGGTATCCCATTTTACAAATACATCACAGGTATTCACTCTACTGCTGATGGACATTTGGGTTGCAGCCAGTGTTTTGGTTCTGGAAGTGCAGCTATGAATATTCTTGCATGTTTTTTAGTGAACATATGGGCATGTTTTGGGTGGGGCTTACTTAGGAGTGGCTTTGTTAGGACGCAGGTATTCAGTTTTAGTAAATGCTGCCCGTGTTCCAAAGTAGTGCACCATGTCCTAATTTTTAAACAGAGTACAAAATAGCTGGTGAGACGAGCCCAGACTTATCTGCATTTGGATAACCCTGAACATATGCTAGTGAAGTTCCAGCTCCCCTTTCCATGCCCTGCTTTGTGGATTAGCTGTGAACAGTCTTTCTACTGCCACAGAAGTGTTCTCAAGTGATCAACCCCTGAGAACTAGGAGGAGATCAGGTGAGCTTATGAGACAAAATACAGAGCAGCTCACCATTGCCCTTGGGCATAAATATTGCTGCTGGGCCAGGTGCAGTGGTTCATGCCTGTAATCCCAGCACTTTGGGAGGCTGAGGCGGGTGGATCACCTGAGGTCAGGAGTTCGAGACCAGCCTGGCCAACATGGCGAAACTCCATCTGTAATAAAAATACAAAAATTAGTTGGGCATGGTGGCACGCACCTGTAGTCCCAGCTACTCAGGAAGCTGAGGTGGGAGAATTGCTTGAACCCAGCAGACAGAGGTTGCAGTGAGCCAAGATCGCACCACTGCACTCCAGCCTGGGCAACAGAGCGAGACAGTCTCAAAAAATTAAAAAATAAATAAATAAATATTGCTGTTGGACAACTGGTACCTGGCCAACCTTTCACTTCTGCCCAATGCTCTATGTTTCCCAGGACTGTCTCCCACCTTTGATGACCAATGTTCCCGGAGGGGATCAATAAGTGCTCAGGGAAGCTATGTCCAAATGTCATCCCAAACTTTGGTTTATGCCATCTTCTCCTAGCTAACTTCATCTAACATGGGCACAGTCCTGTTTCCTTGCAGAGCGAGGCTGGTGCTTGCTACTCAGCCCAAAAGCAAATGCTGTATTATGCAGGATATACACATAGATGGGAAAATTATAAAGAAAAAGCAAGGGGCAGATTAACACAACAGTCAGGATGTGTATGCACACTTCACAGCAGCACTATTCACAGTAGCCAAAAGGTGGAGGCAATGCAAATGTCCACTGATGGAGGAACAGATAGATATGCAAAATATGGTCCATCCATACAATGAAATATTAGCCTTAAAAAGGAAAGAAATTCTGACATATGCTACATGGATGAATCTGAGGACATTAGCTAAGTGAAATAAGCCAGTCACAAAAAGAAAAATACTGTACAATTCTACTTATATGAGGTATTTGGAGAAGTCACAATCATAGAGACAGATAGTAGAATGGGAATTTGCCAGGGACCTGGAGTAGGGGGGAATGGAGAATTATTGCTTAATGGCTACAGAGTTTCAGTTTTACAAGATGAAAAAAGTTATTTATGGAGACGGATGGCACGTGATGGTTGCACATTATGAATGTGTTTAATACCACTGAACTGTACACTTAAAAATGGGTAAGATGCTTAGAGATATGAAGGGAGATATTTATGAAGTCTAGAAACTAAGAATTCAGCTAAAAATGAAAAATTCAGTTCTCTATAATTTCATTAAATTTGGCTCCATTCAAGTTTTTGGTCTCGAGTGTTGCAGGAAGTCAGGGGCCCCGAATGGAGGGACCGGCTGGAGCTGCGGCAGAGGACCATAAATTGTGAAGATTTCATTTTAATATGGACATTTATCAGTTTCCAAATAATACTTTTATAATTTCTTATGCCTGTCTTTAATCTCTTAATCCTGTTATCTTCGTAAGCTGAGGATGTACGTCACCTCAGGACCACTGTGATAACTGTGTTAACTGTACATATTGATTGTAAAACATGTGTGCTTGAACAATATGAAATCAGTGCACCTTGAAAAAGAACAGAATAACAGTGATTTTTAGGGAACAAGGGAAGACAACCATAAGGTCTCACTGCCTGCAGGGTCAGGCAAAACGAGTCATATTTTTCTTCTTGCAGAGAGCCTACAAACGGACACGCAAGTAGGGAAGATATCGCTAAATTCTTTTCCTAGCAAGGAATATTAATACCCTGGGAAAGGAATGCATTCCTGGGGGGAGGTCTGTAAACGGCCGCTCTGGGAATGTCTGCTTTATGTGGTTGAGATAAGGACTGAGATATGTCCTGGTCTCCTGCAGTGCCCTCAGGCTTACTAGGGTGGGGAAAAACTCCACCCTGGTAAATTTGTGGTCAGACCGGCTCTCTGCTCTCGAATCCTGTTTTCTGTTGTTTAAGATGTTTATCAAGACAATACACACACCACTGAACATAGACCCTTATCTTATCACTGAACATAGACCCTTACCACTGAACATAGACCCTTACCATAGACCCTTACCATAGACCCTTACCATAGACCCATAGATCTTTACCACTGAACATAGACCCTTACCATAGACCCTTACCACTGAACATAGACCCTGATCTTTGTTGAACCCTTATCAGTAGTTCTGCTTTTGCCCTTTGTCCTGTTCCCTCAGAAGCATGTGATCTTTGTTAGACCCTTATTAGTAGTTCTGTTTTTTGCCCTTTGAAGCATGTGATCTTTGTACCTACTCCTTGTTCTTACACCCCCTCCCCTTTTGAAACCCTTAATAAAAACTTGCTGGTTTGAGGCTCAGGTGGGCATCATGTTCCTACCAATATGTGATGTCACCCCCGGCGGCCCAGCTGTAAAATTCCTCTCTTTATACTGTTTCTCTTTATTTCTCAGCCAGCTGACACTTATGGAAAATAGAAAGACCCCACATTGAAGTATTGGGGGTGGGTTCCCTCAATACTCGAGCTGTAATTCTCAAAGCATCCTGGACCAGCAGTATTAGCATCACGGGAAAACTTGCTGGAAATGAAAATCCATGAGCCCCACCATAGACCTATTGAATGGAAACTGTTGGTGGGACCCAGTGATCTGTTTTAATGAGACCTCCAGGAGATAACAATGCACATTAAACTTGGAGAACCACTACGGAAGAGGAATGGACTGAGTTCAATTTCCTGTCTGTACAGGCTAGTTTACCTTGGTCCCATAGTGACACAGCACCCGTGTTGGACAAGGAGTCTTTCTGCCCTGCAGATTCTCTGACATCTTAAGAGAACTTCAACTCTTTTTTTTTTTTTTTTTTTTTTTTGAGATAGAGTCTCAGTCTGCCACCCAGGCTGGAGTCCAGTGGTGCAATCTCAGCTCACTGCAATCTCCGCCTCCTGGGTTCAAGCAATTCTCCTGCCTCAGCTTCCCAAGTAGCTGGGATTACAGGTGCGCACACCACACCTGGCTAATTTTTGCATTTTTAGTAGAGACAGGGTTTCACCATGTTGGCCAGGCTGGTCTCAAACGCCTGACCTCAAGTGATCTGCCCACCTCGGGCCTCCCAAACTGCTGGGGTTACAGGCATGAGCCACCATATCCAGCTTATTTCTTCTTTTTTTTTTTTTTTAAATTATTTAATGTTTGTGAGGTACAGGTGGTTTTTAATTACAGGGATAAGTTATTTAGTGGTGACTTCTGAGTCTTTGGTGCACCCATTGGGTACAGTGAACACTGCCACCTGTGCAAGGTCCATTATAACATTTTTCTTTGCATCCTCGTATCTCAGCTCCCACTTATAAGTAAGAACATAATGATATTTGGTTTTCCACTCCTAAGTTACTTCACTTAGAATAATGGCCTCCAGCTCCATCTAAGTTGCAGCAAAAGACATTATTTCATTCCTTTTTATGGCTGAGTGGTATCCCATGCTGTATATATACTATATTTTCTTTATCTGCTCATTTGTTGATGGGCACTTAGGTTGGTTCCAAATCTTTGTAACTGCAAAATGAAAACATGTGTGGGCATGTGTCTTTTTCATATAATGACTTCTTTTCCTTTGGGTGGATGGCCAGTAGTGGGACTGTTGGACCAAATGGTAGTTTTACATTGAGTTCTTTAAGGAATCGCCATACTGTTTCCCATAGTGGTTGTACTAATTGACATTGCCACCAGCAGTGTAAAAGTGTTCAAGGGTTTAGCTCATTTCTTCTTCTTTTTTTTTTTTTTGAGATGCTCTGTCACCAGGCTGGAATGCAGTGGTGCCATCTCCGCTCACTGCAACCTCCATCTCCCGGGTTCAAGCGATTCTCCTGCCTTAGCCTCCTGGGTAGCTGGGATTACAGGCATGTGCCACCATGCCTGGCTAATTTTTGTATTTTTAGTAGAGACAGGGTTTCACCATGTTGGCCAGGCTGGTCTTGATCTCCTGACCTCCTGATCTGCCCATCTTGGCCTCCCAAAGTGCTGAAATTATAGGCGTGAGCCACTGCACCCAGCAGCTCATTTCTTCTTAAAAAAATAAACCAGGCCAGGCACAGTGGCTCATGTCTGTAATCCCAGCACTTTGGGAGACTGAGGTGGGTGGATCACTTGAGGTCAGGAGTTCGAGACCAGCCTGACCAACATGGAGAAACCCTGTCTCTACTAAAAATACAAAATTAGGCGTGGTGGCACGTGCCTGTAATCCCAGCTACTCGGGAGGCTGAGGCAGGAGAATTGCTTGAACCCAGGAGATGGAGGTCGCAGTGAGCCGAGATCGTGCCACTGCACTCCAGCCTGGGTGACTAGAGTGAAATTCCATCTCAAAATAAATAAATAAACCATAGCTGGGCGCAGTGGCTCACGCTTGTAATCCCAGCACTTTGGGAGGCTGAGGTGGGTGGATCACCTGAGGTCAGGAGTTCGAGACTAGCCTGGCCAACATGGTGAAACCCCATTTCTACTAAAAATACAAAAATTAGCTGTGTGTGGTGGCGGGCGCCTGTAATCCCAGCTACTCAGGAGGCTGAGGCAGGAGAATTGCTTGAACCCAGGAGGTAGAGGTTGCAGTGAGCTGAGATTGCGCCACTGCACTCCAGCCTGGGTGACAAGAGTGAGACTCCATCTCAAAATATATATATAAGTAAACCACAGCAATTACATATAGTGACTTGAGGAATGGCTCTTCAATAGTGACTCTTCAATGGCTACAGAGTTCACTGCATTTTTGACAAAAACCGTAGATGACAAAACCCAACACACCTTTCATCAGAGGACACATTCTCATTTTATACATAATCAAGAAAGGAAAAAAACACTGCCAATTAAACTATAATATGCCACTAACTGTCAGATACACCCTAATAGCAAAGATGTTAAAATGGGGGGGAAAGTGTATCTTCGACTCAATGAAATAATGTTAGAAATAATCAGTATTGACTTCACTCTTTGAATTTGAGTTTGGAAGTTATAACAATATATTATTCAGGTGCTTCATGCCTTGTAGGCTGGATTCAATGCCATTATAAATCCAAACAGAAAAAAAAGCAAGAAAATAAGTCAAGAATACGAGAGAGTATTTTCAAACTTAACACAACTCTTTCATGAGAGCATTAAGACTACATTCACAGAATAAACTGGCAACTCAAAACTCAAATTGTATTGCCTGTATGCACAACAGATGAATGTATAAATCACTTTCCCAGGGTCTGCTGCTATGGTTTAAATGTTCCCACCAAAACTCATCTCGACATTTAATTGCCAATGTAGTAGTACAGGGAGGTGGGAACTTTAAGAGGATATTAGGCATTAATGGATTAATGCCATTATTGCTGGAGTGGGTTAGTTATTGTGTGAGTAGGCTCCTGATAAAAAGACAGCTTCAATCCCCATTCTCTGTCTTGCATGCTCACTTCTGCCTTCTGCCTTTTGCTTTGGGATAACTCTTGCCAGATGCTGGCGCCATGCTCTTGGACTTCCTAGACTCGAGAACTGTGAGCACAATACACTTGGATTGTTTATAAATTCCCCTATCTGTGGTATTCTGTTATAGCAGCAGGAAATGGCCTACAACAGCTGTTTAATCAGTGAGCGTTCAGAGCATTTGGTACTCCACTCAGTGCACACATTGTGAAGTTTAACCACAGCTTTACATTTTTACAGCACTCTGGATAAAAATTCAACCAAATAACAAAATATAGTACCCTGTTAACATGTGCCAAATTCAAAATCCTGATCCTCCTCCTGTCCAGTGAAGACTGGTGCAGATACAGACAGGAGGGGCAAGGACAGAAGAGAAAGCCCATGTAGTGACTACTTGGTGCCAGGCGTGGGGCTAAGGACTTCCCACACATGACTGTACGTAATCATCCCAACAACCTCCCGAGGCAGGCGCGACTCCTTGCCCAGATGAGGAGGTGCCTGAGCCTGAGTAACTTGCTTATGGTGACCCGGCTAATGAGTGGTAGAGCAAAGGTTGGAAAGCTAGTTTATTTTACCCCAAATCTCATACTTTTCCCACAGGATCAGTAGACCTATCTGGTCCAAAACTGTACGTAAGTACTGTGTTCAAGACATTTTTCGTCAGGCCCAGATGTAAACAACCTGAATTTGCTTATCTACCTTGTCCCTCCAAAGTCATATTCAGTTTTCAGGACTCATGGCAAGCAGTGAGGTGAGGTAAAGAGTTGGGAATTTGAGAAAAGGAAAAATGGCAGAAAAGAGCCCCAGAGATGATGAACCAAGCAGTTCTAACTTGTCTAGAGCTCTTCACTAGAAGCAAAAAGTAGGCCAATGCCTAAGGTGAGCAAAAGACCTCATGAGCTCAAGGCTGACATAAAGTTACGATACTGAAAATGTGTATAGAAATTAAAGCTTCCCTCATCTACTGAGATCATTCCCTAGAATTGAAGGCCATGGCCGGGATCTGGCCCACCTCTTACCAACCTGGTTGTGGCTATGACAGTCCAAAAGGTCGTTGCTGATGTAGGCCTGCAGAACGGTCTCCCTCTGCTCTCCAGGATGGGATGTGGTCAAGCGCTGGAGCAAGGAGAAACAAAAGCAGCGAGACCTAAGTCTTACCATGGAGAAAAGTTTCACAGAGCAGGCGTGTTTTAAATGGCAGTATCAGTAACTACACATTTAAGCAAACAAAATAAGTAATATTCAGCTGGGGAGGTGGTGGCAAATTAACCGGCCAACCAAAACAAGAAATTTTGATGTGGGCCGGGTGCAGCGGCTCATGCCTGTAATCCCAGCACTTTGGGAGGCCAAGGCAGGCGGATCAAAAGGTCAGGAGATCGAGACCGTCCTGGCTAACGTGAGGAAACCCCGTCTCTAGTAAAAATACAAAAAAATTAGCTGGGTGTGGTGGCAGGCGCCTGTAATCCCAGCTACTCGGGAGGCTGAGGCAGGAGAATGACGTGAACCCACGAGGCAGAGCTTGCAGTGAGCCAAGATCACGCCACTGCACTCCAGCCTGTGTGACAGAGTGAGACTCCGTCTCAAAAAAAAAAAAAAAGAACCTATCATGTGCTTCCTAATGGGTGACACAGGGAGCCAATTTATACATGTGAACTCTTCAGAGAAGTGAGGCAGCAAAATGCTCAGACTGCAAGTGTGCAGATAGGGAAGAGCTCATCCATGCCCAGAGAAGCATTTCTTGTATAAAGGGGCTCAGAAGCTGGCCCCTGCAGGAAAGGCTGCCTATTAACCAGCACAGGGGAGCGTGAGTATGGTGGGGGACAGGGAAGTGAGGTCTAGCTCAGGGAAGTACAATATAGGGCACAGTGGTGTGGGCTCAGTGGGAGGGGCCCAGGGCTCACTGTAGAGCACTCTGAATGCATGCTCTGCCAACAAATTCACTCTATCCTATCCTATAGGGAATGACAGAGTGATACAGTGCATGTGCCTATGCGTGTGTGTGCATGTGTGCATATGTGCATGTATGAGTGTAGAGGTAGCTGGCTAGAATTTTGTAGATTTTAGAAAGCCATAAGTCTGTCATGTTGCTACAAGTAAAAATTTATGCAATGTCCACAGAGCTAGTATAATGGCTGTGTGTATGTGTGCACATGGGTGTGTACAGGTGTGAGGTGGGATACGAAAAAGCACGTAACAGAGTAAGCAAATATCCTTGCTCTTTCAGGAAAATCCTACTAGATAAAAATCCTGAGGCTGTAAGCCCTGCTTCTAGCCAAAGAGAAGCTGGATGTGCAAGGAATGTGCTAGTTCTTAGCATGGGCAAGAGCACAGGCCAGAGCATCAGACGCCCTGGGCTGGAAGGAGAGCCGGGAAGGCCTCCAGAGCAGGCACTGCCAACAGACGTGACCATCATGGCCAGGGTGTGCCTGGAATGTCACACTGGGATGCTGCTACCCTTCTGTTGAGTTCACTGAGGTTGAAGCAGGGGCAAGAAGCCGGGTGGGGGCACTGGAGAGGGACACAGACAAAAACATTAGAAACCTGTTCACCTTTCCTGGTTGTTTTGTGAGGATGTCACTCTCTCAGCAAAGGAATACCCTGTCTCAGCAAGAGGCTCAGGAGTAGCACGGACTGAGAGGAAGTGCAGTGTCAGTAAACCAAGAGCCATATAAAAGATGAGTTTGAGAGTTTGAGCAGAGAGAGACAAATGGCCAGGGAGGAGACGGCCACTGTGGATGACCCATGCTGCCCCACCCACTCCAGTCCTGACCCAAACAAAACCAGAGCAGACATCACTGCTTGTCCATAGGACTCTTCCTGAGGATCCTGGATACGTCGTCCGAGTCCTCAAGACGTACTTCAGGAAGCACTATCATAGAAGCATGCAAGTGAGAACTGTTTCTATCCACAGATGGGAAATTGCTAAGGATCCTTATGCCAAGATACCTTGAAATTCGGGGGTCCATGAAGGTGTCTGATGCTAATGAATTAGAATGAACTGTTCAGTTAAAGAACTGCTGGCTCAATCAATGTTGGCTTGAGTCAGCAGTTCTCACAGTGTGGTCCAGAGAACCCGGAGAGGTCCCCCAAACCCTTTAGGGGGTCTGCAAGGTCACAATTTTCATAATACTAAGATATGACAATGCCTTTTTTGTGATCAGTCTCTGGGAGGCTATATGAAGTGTGACACTGACAATCAAACCCAAAGCAGATATAAGAATCCACCTGTCTTCCATCAAGCCAGACATTAAAGACAACTGCAGAACAATGCTGCTTTTCTCACAATTCTGTTGTTGTTTGGAAAGTAGTATTCATCACAAAAAATGTTATTTATGTTAACATGTCATTCATTATTGCTCATTTTAAATGAATTAATAAACATATACTTCAAATCTTTAGCGTTTTGTTTTCGTTTTTTGGTTTTTTTGAGATGGGGTCTCACTGTGTCGCCCAGGCTGGAGTGAAGTGGTGTGATCTTGGCTCACTGGAACCTCTGCCTTCCGGGTTCAAGCAATTCTCCTGCCTCAGTCTCCTGAGTAGCTGGGACTACAGGCACCTGCCACCATGCCTGGCTAATTTTTTGTATTTTTAGTAGAGATGGGGTTTTGCCATGTTGCCGAGGATGGTCTTGAACTCCTGGCCTCGGGTGATCTACCTGCCCCGGCCTCCCAGTATGCTGGGATTACAGGCTTGAGCCACCATGCCCAGGTAAATCTTTTCAGTTTTAATTTCAAATGCTGTAAATATTGGTAGACAAAATTCACATAAATGAAAGCTCTCTGAGGTCCTCAGTAATTTTTGAGAGTGGAAAGGGGTCTGACACTAAAAAGCTTGAGAACCAATTGCTGACTTCAACTGCACTCAATCTGAACACTAGGGAGAAAAGTAACGATGGGGACCAGGCCACTTCCTTTAGGCCTTGTGAACAGGAGTTCTTTCCTTGGCGCCTCTCCAGGGTGCCCACACGGCAGTGCCTGAATACAGAACCTCTGTGGGACTGTGATCAACCCTGACTCCATGCGCTCACACGCGGCCCCCACAAGTAGAGTGGGGCTCATGGCCAGGAAAGGGCTACACGCAGGTGCAGTCTCTCAGGCCTTGCAATTCATTTACCTAACTCATTACATCACAATTGCCATAATATAGGAGTTTCTCAAAGGAGGCCCAGGCTATCTTCAGAAGTGGCTTTCGACTTCCGTTCTTGGTGTCAGCAGACAGTGGGGAAGAATGATTTCTGGAAGATGGGTTAAAAGATACAAGCAAGGTAGCCAGCCAAGAAACCAGTACTGGTTTAGTTTTGTTTTCTAACTTTAAGACAAAGGTACCTACCCAGCGTAGAGCCTGCAACAAGAAGGCTTTCAAGCGGTCACTCCCCAAAATCAAATCCTTCTTCAGTTTCTCATAATCCAAGGAGGGCAGTAATGGGACATCCTTCAATTTCCTACTCAGCAACACAAGTTCAAAGAGAAAGAAAAGGGCAAAAGGGCATGTTCGTTACACCTCCTGAGCATCATGACACCCGAGCTAGAGCCTGCTGTTCCCCTGGGCTCCCAGCATGACCTCCCGGCTTCCACTTGGAGGGTGGGCTGGGTTCTGGGCTCCTACCTCAGCTTCAACCAGCTCAGCTCTGCCTGTTCTGTTGGATGGACTTAGGTTCTGTTTAACATTTTTCCTAAAACAAGGAGTCTTTGTCTGAACAGATTTAGAAACCCCTACATTCACCTTCAGCCAGACCTCCCTAGGATGGGGAGGAAATCACCTTGGGGGCATCTTGACTTTCCACCAAAGTTCTGTTTAGAATTCCAGACATAGTTCAAAGACAATTAGCATCACCAGGCCCCAAGAGTTCTACCTAAACACCTGAAGCCAGTGATCCTCTCAAGCCTGAGCGACTGGACTGGGGGAATATGAATGACAGTCAGAAAACAAGTGTGAAGAGTAAGTAGGCAGAGGCCAGGCATGTTGGCTCAAGCCTGTAATCCCAGCACTTTGGGAGGCCTAGGCAGGTGGATTACCTAAGGTCAGGAGTTCGAGACCAGCCTGGCCAACATGGTAAAACCCCATCTCTACTAAAAACACAAAATTAAAATTAGCCAGGCATAGTGACACATGCCTGTAGTCCCAGCTACTCGGGAGGCTGAGACAGAAGAATCACTTGAACCCAGGAGGTGGAGGCTGCAGTGAGCCAAGATTGCACCACTGCACTCCAGCCTAGGCAAGACACAGCAAGACTCTGTCTCAAAAAAAAAGAAAAAAAAGAAAAAAAGAGTAATTAGGTGGGTGGCTCAGCCCTCCGACGAGGTAGAATGCGTGGTCAGCAAGCAGCATGGGAACATAGGCAGGAGATGGGTTGTAGGACAATTTGCAGACCCTCCTCAGGGAGACTGCAAAGACCTCTGGGGAGCCAGGGTTCAGTGAGGAGAGACCTCAGATTTGAGATCCACACAGCTCAGACTGCCCCGCCACTCACCTTCGGTCAGCCAGAAACCAAAGGAATCACCTCAGCCTCCTTGTTGCTAAAACAAGTGTCTTCACGCTTTGTTTTTTGTTGTTTTATTGTAGAAAAGAAGATTAGAGGGCATGGAAAAACTGGTGAAACTAAATGAGCTTTGCAGTCTACTTTACAGTACTTTATCAATGATGGTTTCCTCATTTTGGTGTAATACTACAGTATTACGCCAAATGCTAAGTGTTGTATATGTATTAACTCATTTTGATCCTCACAACAATCCTAAAATAGAATTACTATGATTCTCCTCATTTTATAAGTGAGGAACTGAGGCACGAAGAAATTATATAAGTAATCCTCGGTCCCAGGGAGGGTAGCAGGAGTGGGCTTTTAACCCTAGCAGTCTGTGCAGTGATACTGCTGCCAAAGTGGTAGGAGAGAATAAAGTGTGGGGTCAAGGTCAGACTCAGGCAGGGCTGAGGGAGGAGGAATGCTGTGGGCATCTCAGGTGTGTGAGGAATCACACAGCACCCCTATCTTCCCCTTCTCCCCCGCAAAGCTGGCTCAGAGGGTCCCAGAAGCCACCCTGGTCCTCATGTCCAAGTCAAAGGTTCTCAACTCCCTTGCCACCACAGCATCAGACACTCCCAAGGGGGACAGCCCAACTCATCAGGACACGAGTGCTCAGGCATACACAGGGCTGCCCATGGCCCTGATCACAGTGTGAACCAGCAGACAACACAAATTCAGACAGTGCAACACTCTGTGGATTGCACTATGATAGTAGATTACATTTCTATACAATACCATATGAACAATTCTACAGTTGTTTTCATTTGAGGCTTCCTTACCAAAAGAATAGAATTAACAATATAAGATGGCCGGGCACGGTGGCTCACACTTATAATCCCAGCACTTTGGGAAGTCAAAGGGGGTGGATCACTTGTGGTTGGGTGTTCGAGACCAGCCTGACCAATATGGAGAAACCCTGTCTCTATTGAAAATACAAAATTAGCCGGGCGTGGTGGCATATGCTTGTAATCGGGAGGTTGAGGCAGGACAATCGCTGGAACCCAGGAGGCGGAGGTTGCAGTGAGCTGAGATTGCGCCACTGCACTCCAGCCTGGGCAACAAGAACGAAACTCCGTCTCAAAAAAAAAAAAAAACAAAACACACACATGCAATAAAAGATAATTCTAGTTTAACAACATTACTTATAAGTACTCGTATTTCCTTTAATATTCACATGTAGCTCTAGCTCAAAGGCACTCCTCTAAGATAGGCTGCTGAGTGTTTATTAAAGACACTTTGAATTCCCATTTTACACATTGCTGTTCTCCTTAATAAAAATTCCTAAGAGTAGTTACTTACACGGGTGCCAAGGAGGCTCGTAACATGGTGGATGCCTGGGGGGAAGAGGACAGAAGAAAACAGATGGTGTTAAACACTGATAGCAACGCACGGATCCCAAATCACCCTAATAGCATGTAATCAACAGATGTGCAAGTTAGGTTTTTTTTGTTTTTTTTGTTTTTTGGTTTTTGTTTTTTTGAGACAGAGTCTTGCTCTGCCGCCCAGGCTAGAGTGCAGTGGCCCAATCTCGGCTCACTGCAAGCTCCGCCTCCCGAGTAGCTGGGATTATAGGCACCCGCCACCACACCCAGCTAATTTTGTTTGGTATTTTTAGTAGAGACGGGGTTTCACTGTGTTAGCCAGGATGATCTCCTGACCTCGTGATCTGCCCACCTCAGCCTCCCAAAGTGCTGGGATTACAGGCGTGAGCCACTGCAGCCGGCCCAGATGTGCGAAGTTTTAATCCACCAGGATTCACCAACCAAAGTCACACATGATGTAAAAATCAACCCAAACTAAAGTTACACACCACTGCTCCAGCTCACAGCCTACCAGCCCTTGTGTGATGTTACATCACTCCAAGCAAAACTCTGTAGAGGCTGCTCTGCCTATGGAGTAACCATTCTTTGATTCTTTTATTTTCTTTAGAAAAAAACAAAAGCAAACAACCAAAAACAAAACAAAACAAAACCTCTATAGAAAATGATGGGTTCCTGTCTCTACTAAAAATACAAAATTAGCCGAGTGTGGTGGCACATGCCTGTAATCCCAGCTACTCGGGAGGCTGAGGTAGGAGAATCGCTTGAACCCAGGAGGCGGAGGTTGCGGTGAGCCGAGATCACACCATTGCACTCCAGCCTGGTCAACAAGAGCGAAACTCTGTCTCAAAAAAACAAAAAAGAAAAGAAAAGAAAACGATGGGTTCTCCCTGACCAAACTCCCAAGGGCATTTCAAGCTGCCTAATTAAATACATTATGGGCCGGGCGCGGTGGCTCAAGCCTGTAATCCCAGCACTTTGGGAGGCCGAGACGGGCGGATCACGAAGTCAGGAGATCGAGACCATCCTGGCTAACACGGTGAAACTCCGTCTCTACTAAAAAATACAAAAAAAACTAGCCGGGCGAGGTGGCAGGCGTCTGTAGTCCCAGCTACTCGGGAGGCTGAGGCAGGAGAATGGCATAAATCTGGGAGGCGGAGCTTGCAGTGAGCCAAGATCTGGCCACCGCACTCCAGCCTGGGCAACAGAGTGAGACTCCGTCTCAAAAAAAAAAAAAAGATTCTCTTCAAGTATAAAAATGTGCACTTTGTACCAAGTCAAACATTCTAGAGGTGTTTAAAAAACATTAACAACTCCTCTTCCACCCCACTCTCTTATAATTCTGATCCTGTCTATAGGCAAAATCATTGCCTACTTTACGGAGATTCTTGTCCCATTTATTTTGTGTGTGTGTGTGTGTGTGTGTGTGTCTTTTTGCCACTTTAGGCAGTGCTGTATTATGTATGTACTAAAATACATTTGAGAAACATATAAACAGATACAGTGTGTGGTGCTTGTTTGAATTGACTCAAATAAACCAATTGTAAAAAGATATTTTGAGAAAATAAGGGAAATCTGAATATGGAGTGGACTGGTATTAGATACTAAGGAATTAGTGTTAACTGTATTTGGTGTTGTGGCTATGTGTTTGTATAGTAAAGTCTCTGATCAGTTAGAGATGTATATTGAATTATTTACAGGTGACATGACATGTTTGGAATTGGATTTTAAAGAACTCCAGGGTGGGGGCAGGGAATAAGTAGAGGAGAAGAAACAAAGCAAGATTAGTGAAATGCCATTTACTGATCAAGCTGGGTGATGGTCACTTGGAGACCCATTTTATTATTCTCCCCTCTTTGCGTGCATGAAATTACAAAAGCCTTGTTAAAAATGTTATTTATTGTCATTTAATGATACTGAAATTTTTTTTTTTTTTTTTACAGATAGGGTCTCACTATATTGCCCAGACTGGTCTTGAACTCCTGGGCTCAAGCAATCCTCCTGCCTCAGCCTCCAGAGTAGCTGGAATTATGGGCGTCTGCCACCATGCTTGTACTTACTGATACTTTGTTTTGTGAGCTAAGCTGGACTTCCAAAGTCTAGATCAAAGGGTATGTGAGTTTTAATTCTGATAAACTTTGCCAGACGCCCCGCACTGAAGGAGAGCTTTCCTTTTTCATTATCAGTGCTGGATCCTATCATTCTAAAACTTCCATCAATTCGATGGGTAGAAAACAGTTTACTTTCTTAAATTTTAGTGATATTGCCCATTATTTTTCGTAACCTGCTTTTTGACTTTGCCTTCATGCCTTATGTGATACCAGATTGTTTTCATGGATTTCAGTCCTGCTTCAGAAGGTCTACCTACCTCAAGGTGATATACACATTCTCTCAATTCTTCTAACATTTTCATAGCTTTATTTTTTACATTTAGAGATTTCATCCTTCTGGAGTTCATGCCACTGTGTTTTCCTCTGTGGTGTGAGTGACGCATGCAACTTTGTTTTCTTATTCCCTGAGAGCCAGTTATGCTGCGCCATGTAAGTCCCACCCAGGCCATCCAGTATCACCTCAAAATGCTTCCATCAGTACATCTTGCTTCCTCCCTCTCTTTTTCTTCACCTCCTTTTTGTTCTTCCTTTTTCAATTTGAATGTGAATACTAAGGTGGAAGGAACGTCATCTTCAGGCACCAGAGCTCCCTGCAGCCTGACACCAGCTGCTTCACATACTTCCTAGCCCTGACAGCATCTGACTCCGTGACCCATGAAATAAACCACCCCTCTCCTACCTCCATTGTCTGCTAGGTATACAACTTTCCTTAGTTTTATTTCTGGACTCTGCAGCCCCCTGCAACTCAAAGTGTGCTCCTCAGACAAGCAGCATCATCCAAATCTCATTGAAAATGCATAATTTTGGGTACCATCCCAGACCTCCTGAACCAGAACCTGCACTTCAGCCAGGTCCCCAGCGGATATGTCTGCACAATAAACTTGGAGAAACCCAACTCTGGTCCATAAATTTTTTTTTTTTTGAGACACAGTCTCGCTCTGTTGCCCAGTCTGGAGTGCAGTGGCACGATCTCAGCTCACTGCAACCTCTGCCTACCGGGTTCAACCCAGCCAAACCGTGCCCAGCCAAGTACCACTTTTATTTTATTTTATTTTATTTTATTTTATTTTTTTGAGACGGAGTCTCGCTCTGTCGCCCAGGCTGGAGTGCAGTGGCACGATCTCGGCTCACTGCAAGCTCCGCCTCCCGGGTTCACGCCATTCTCCTGCCTCAGCCTCCCGAGTAGCTGGGACTACAGGCGCCCACAACCGCGCCCGGCTAATTTTTTGTATTTTTAGTAGAGACGGGGTTTCACCGTGGTCTCGATCTCCTGACCTTGTGATCCGCCCGCCTCGGCCTCCCAAAGTGCTGGGATTACAGGCGTGAGCCACCGCGCCCGGCCACCCAAGTACCACTTTTAAATGGCTCAGATCAGCCAGGCATAGTGGCCCTGGCCTGTAAATCCCAGCACTTTGGGAGGCCGAGGCGGGCAAATCACTTGAGGTCAGGAGTTCCAGACCAGCCTGGCCAACATGGTGACACTCCATCTCTATTAAAAATACAAAAAATTAGCTGGGCGCGGTGGCGCACACCTGTGGTCACAGCTACTCGGGAGGCTGAGGCAGGAGAATCGCCTGAACCCAGGAGGCGGAGCTTGCAGTGAGCTGTGATCACATCACTGCACTCCAGCCTGGGTGACAGAGCAAGATTCCATCTCAAACAAACAAACAAAATTTAAATTTTAATTTTAAAAATGGCTCAGATCATGCATGTATGTTTTTATACTTTTAACCCTTGATTGCTTTAATAAAGAAATTACCTATTCCTGTTGTTGGCTTAAGTAGTGAGTTTAGAAATAAGTTTGAAATGTCATCTAAATTATTCACCTAGCTGGGCACAGAGGTTCACACCTGTACTCCCAACACTTTGGGAGGCTGAGGCAGGAGGATCACTTGAGCCCAGGAGTCTGAGACCAGCCAGAGCAACATGATGAAACCCTATCTCTAAAAAAAAAAAAAAAAAAAAAAAAAAATTAGTGGGGCGTGATGGCGTGTGCCTGTGGTCCCAGTTACTCGGGAGGCTGAGGTGAGAGGATTGTTTGAGCCTAGGAGGTTGAGGCTGTAGTGAGCCAAGATCACAACATTGCACTCCAGCCTGGGCAACAGAGTGAGACCCTGTATCAAAAAAGAAAAAAATTATTCATTTAACACATTACAGAGACCAAGAAGCTAAGATAACAAGTCAGATGGGTCAAGTAAGGACACGGCCATACTAAAATATTAGCATGGCTGGGAGCAGTGGCTCATGCCTATAATCCCAGCTACTTGGGAGACTGAGGCAGGAGAATCACTTGAATCTGGGAGGTGGAGGTTACAGTGAGCAGAGATCACACTGCTGCACTCCAGCCTGGGCGACACAGCCAGACTCCATCTCGAAAAGAAAAGAAGAGAAGAGAGAAGAGAGAGAAGAGAAAAGAGAAAAGAGAAAAGAGAAGAGAAGAGAAGAGAAGAAAAAGAAGAAAAAGAAAAGAAAAGAAAAGAAAAGAAAAGAGAAAAGAAAAGAAAAGGAGTGGCCTCCTCACTCTCTACATCCCCCAAAGTATCAGGTCCTACTGATTCCATCCTACAGCTGCTACCTTCTCTCTAATCCCTGAGCCAGGGGCTTCGTTCAGGACTTCTTCTCTCCTTTGAACTACCACGTTAGCTTAATAAGGATGTACTCACTGATATTTATGGAGGGCTCACTAGTCACCAGGCACACCATTGTAGGGACTTTACACATATTAACTCATTTCATGCACTGTCATTTCCACTTTCAGATGCACAAACACAGGGACTGAGCAACTTCCCCTAGAACAAGAATCTAATCAGGCAGTCGGGTCCCAAAGCCCACATTTGCCCTGCTTCAGGTCTCTCCTCCAGCCCTCCTTCCACACTCAGCACAGGGGTCTTTGTAAAAATTGCA